CAAAGAGTCACTATCCTGGATTTAGTTACAGACTACTCTACTAACCTTTGAAAGCAGGTTAGAATAACTCAATACCTATCAAAATGGCGGCATCAATTTGAGCCAAGCTACAGCCCATATGCAATAATAGACCTGAAAATAGGTCACCAACTTCAATTATGGCAGAGGGCAGAGTCGACCCACCAAACAACACAATAGTAAGGCTCAGAGCAGATTTCGTGGAAGAGGAAGAAGAAGTAATGGAAGTAAACTAACATGTCAAATTTGCAAAAAATAGGGCACACTGCCTCAATTTGTTGGAACCGATTTGATTAGAATTTCATGGGCAACACATCAAATCAGTGACCAGCCCAAAAACCAATCAGCAAATGCTTTTATGCCTCACCTAAAATCTTGAAGATCCTTATGGTATGTAGATACGGAGCAAGTCATCATGTCACCAATGATTTGGGAAATCTGCATCAGAAACAAGATTATAGTGGTAAGAATTTCTTGTAGTAGCAATGGAAGCAAGCTTGTATTAGTCACATCAAACATAAAATTACCCACTCAGCAAAAGATTTATTATTAATAATGTGTATGTGTGCCTAATATCACAAAGAATTTGCTGAGTATATCACAGTTGGTAGCTGATAATAAGGTAAATGTTAGTAGTTTAATTCTTTGGTCGTCTTGTGAAGGACAAGCTAACAGGACTAGTGATGCTACAAGGGAAACTTGAAGATGGTCTATAAAGCTTGAAGTTGTTTCCATTTCAAATCAATCCAACGTCACCAATCAAAACCTTCACAATCAAAGCCTTCACGTTCCAAGCCATTTCTCTTTCTACAATTTGTCAAGTCTAGAGTCATGTGTCAATCCTTTTTATTTCTCAAAAGAGGATGAATGGCATAGGAAACTAGGCCATCCATCTGGAAAAGAGTATTGTTTCAAGTTTTAAAACAATGCAATGTCAATTTCAAATCAAATGAAATAAATTTTTGTGATGCTTGTCAATTTGGAAAATCACATGCTTTGCCCTTTAACAATTCTGATTCACATGCAAAATCCATATTGGAATTAATTCACACTGATCTTTGGGGACCTGCACCATTACTTTCATCTTCTGGATATTGTTTTTATATACATTTCATTGATGATTTTAGTCGTTTCACTTGGATTTATCCTCTCAAACTCAAAAGTGACGTTGTTCAGGCTTTTAATCATTTCAAAAATCTTGTCGAAAATCAATTTGAAACTAAAATAAAACAACTGTACTCTGATTGTGGAACCTTGTATCTACCTTTTTCTCAAATAGTTCAACAGTCAGGAATCATTTTCAAACACACTTGTCCATATACCTCAGTCCAAAATGGTAGAGCAGAAAGGAAACACATGCATATTGTTGAAATGGGGTTAACTCTCTTAGCAAAGGCTAAAATGCCACTAAAATTCTTGTGGGAAACTTTTGAGAGTGTTGTTTTCTTGATAAATAGATTGCCAACTACTATTCTTCAAAACATCTCACCCATGCAAAAATTATTTAACAAAGTTCCAGATTATTCCTTTCTAAAGATTTTTTGTTGTAGTTGTTTCCCGTGTCTTAGACCAGATCAAACCCATAAATTCCAATTTCATTCAACAAAGTGTGTGTTTCTTGGTTATAGTGAATTCTTCAAGGGATATAGATGTCTCAGTTCCACTGGAAAAATATATCTCTCTAAACATGTAGTATTCAATGAAAAAGACTTTTCCCTTCCATGTTGGGTTCCTAAATACCAAAGCAACAATAAATCTTGTCATTATTCCTTCACCATTGTCATGGCACTCACCATCAAGTTCTTGTCGTCACACAACAGATTATGCTCGTACAGGCCAACATCAAACTTCCTCAATAGCATCATCAAATTCTCGAGGCTCAACTTTTATCTCACTAAGATATTTATCTCAAGATTTTGCCACTGCAATTCCCTTAAATGAAAAATTTGTGTAGCCCTCAATTCAAGCAGAAATAGATGAGTCACAAGTTGAACCTGAAATAGAAATCGGTGCCACAAATGAGAGGCAAAGAGGTTTCGACACTCAATAATACAGCCACTCTATGATGACTTAAGGGAAGAGTGGAATATTCAAGTGAAAATCCCCTTACATAGGTATTGTCGAGACCAATGAAAGTCTGAATTCTATGGAACCTATGACTATCTCAACAGCTCTCAGTAATAGTAATTGGAAGAAGGCAATGGAAACTGAATATAATGCTCGAATACAAAATCAGACATGGCATCTAGTTCCATCATCTACAACTCAATACTTGGTTGGCAGCAAATGGGTTTTCAATCTAAAATACAACCCTGATGGGAGTATAGAATGCTACAAAGCGAGGTTAGTTGCCAAAGGATTCCATCAAACCCCTGGCCTTGACTTCTTTGAGACATTTAACCCTGTCATTAAACCTTCTATAGTCCAAACTGTGCTCACTGTAGATGTCTCCAAAGGATCGGAGGTAAGACAACTAGACATAAATAATGCATTTCTTAATGGTTTACTTGCTGAAGATGTCTATATGGTGCAACCGGAGGGTTTCATTGATCGTAAGAAACCAAATTTTGTTTGTAAACTTGATAAGGCTATCTATGGGCTTAAACAAGCTCCACGCGCTTGGTTTGACAGGTTAAGGAACACTTTAATTGATTGGGGGTTTTGTAATTCCAAATGTGACACCTCTCTATTCTTCTTCAAATCTACAACCAAAGTCTTGTTTATTCTCATCTATGTCGATGACATATTGATAACAGGCAATGACAACAAACTTGTGCAAACTTTCATTTTTGCTCTCAAAGACATGGAGTCCCTACATTATTTTCTCGGAATTGAAGTTTGCAGGGATGAAACTGGGATGTATCTTACACAATCAAGATATATTCAAGAATTACTTGACAAAGCTGAAATGGGACATGTCAAAGGCTGCCCAACGCCACTTACAGTAGGTAAAAATCTATCTAAACAAGATGGTGAAATCATGCAGAATCCTAAATCCTATAGACAGATTATAGGGGTTTTTCAATATCTTACACATACTCGCCCAAACATAGCTTTCATTGTGAACAAACTAAGTCAATTTCAGCAACAACCCACAATGGTTCATTGGCAATCAGTGAAGAGAGTTCTTCATTATTTAAGAGGCACTATTTCTGTTGGCTTGCATATTAAGCACAGTGATAGACTTCTTTTAAGTGGGTTTTTTGATGCAAACTGGGCTAGTTGTCTTGATGATCGTCTCTCAGTAGCAGGTTATTGTGTCTATTTTGGTGACACATTAGTTTATTGGTCTTCTAAAAAGCAACATGTAGTAGCTAGATCAAGCATAGAGTTGGAGTATTGATCACTAGCTAATCTTGCTGCAGAATTGTCTTGGCTGACTTCTTTGTTGAAAGAATTCTCTTTTCCTCTCTCTTCCAAACCAATTGTATGGGTTGACAACTTAAGTGCAGCTACGCTTGTAGCAAATCTTGTGTTTCATGCTCGAACTAAGCATATTGAGATCGATGTTCACTTTGTTAGAGACATGGTTTTGAGGAAAGAGCTAGAAATCCGATATGTACCCTCACATGATCAAATTGTAGATTGTCTTACGAAGGCCCTGTCACATTCTCGTTTTGAATTCTTGCGCGACAAACTTGGTGTGGTAGAATCACCCCTTCGTTTGAGAGGGCGAGTTAAAGTAGTTGGATAAACCTTTGACAAGTTCAAGATTCACTCTTCAAAGCCTACGTTTAAGCAATGTGTGTTCATGGGTTACTGCTAAGGTTAAGTGGAACTAGTCTTCAGTTGTTCCTATTTTGTAGCATTAAATTAGCATGCACTTTCTCTTGTATCTTATCCACGATTAGGTAGTTGCTGATCATGTTGTAATGTTTGCTATAAATCTGAATAAAATCTCAGCAAACTAGATCTGAGAAGTTATCTCTAAAAGCCTTTTATTTTGTTTTGGTATCAAAGCCAATCTTGGCCAACGCCATCAACAATAACAAAAACAAACGTTGACCCATCACCCTCATGGCTACTCCTCCAAACAATCCAGGCAGCAGTAAATCACTAGGTACCAGTGAACCATCTTCCTTATCTGATTTGCAACTTTCAAACAGAATCTCACTTACTCGCTACAATTCCATCAAACTTGACCAAACCAACTATCTCCTATGGGAAACACTGGTCCTACATGCTATTAGAGGCCACAAATCAGCTGGCTATATCTTTGACACAAAGCCTTGCCCTCCTGAATATCTGCCAAGAACCACACCAGGCAATACAGTGAAAATACCAAATCCAGATTATGAAGACTGGATTTCAAATGATTAGTTGCTCTTAGGATGGCTGTATAGAACCATGAATCCAGACATAGCTTCTCAGCTAATGTAGAAATCGACTTCTAAGGAGCTATGGGATGCCGCGAATGAGCTCTCAGGTGCACACACCAAGTCAAGAGTCACTTACTATAAAGGTGAATTGCAAAAAAATAAAGGAAATGGGGAATGAAGATGGAGGAATATTTGACGACCATGAAAGCCTTTTTAGACAACCTTACGTTAGCAAGTAGCCCAATATCCTTGTCTAATCTAATCACCCAAATTTTGAGTGGTCTTGATGCAGAGTACACCCCAATAGTGGTTCAACTCGGTGACAAAGAGTCACTATCCTGGATTTAGTTACAGACTACTCTACTAACCTTTGAAAGCAGGTTAGAATAACTCAATACCTATCAAAATGGCGGCATCAATTTGAGCCAAGCTACAGCCCATATTGCAATAAATAGACCTGAAAATANTAATTCCCTTGAAAGAAGGGATTACAAATTCCTAAATATGTGCAGTAGAGATTATCTCCAAAACTAATGTTAATCAAATCTCAACAAATCTTAACACTCCCCTTCAAGTTGGAGCATGTATATCCAGCATGTTCAACTTGCTTCTTAAGTCCTTAAACACGTTTCCTCCAAGAACTTTTGTAAAAACATCTGCCAACTACAAATGAGATGGAACAAATTCTGTAACAATTTGACCTTCTTGTATCTTTTCTCTTACAACATGGCAATCGAGTTCTATGTGCTTGGTGCACTCATGATATACTGGATTTGCTACTATGTGAAGTGCAGCTTGATTATCACATAGTAACTTTGCTGGTCCTGTGGAAATCTGCATGTCATTAAGCAAAAATCTGAGCCAAGTCAATTCACAAGTTGTTGCTACCATGGACCTGTACTCAGCTTCTGAGGATGATCTAGAGACTGTTTTTTGCTTCTTGGCCTTCCATGAAATCAGTGAATTTCCCAAGTACACACAATAACCTGTGGTTGATCTTCGAGTCATAGGACAGTTTGCCCAATTTGCATCACAATAAGCCTTCAAGTTGAAAGAATTGCTTGATGAAAACAACAAGTCGAGACCTGGACTTCCTTTAAGATACTTAATAATGCGAAGAGCCGCATCCCAATGAGGCTTTCTTGGTGCGTGCATAAATGGGCTTAGGATATTGACTGAGTATGTGATGTCTGGTCTTGTGATTGTGAGGTAGATTAATTGTCCAACTAATCTCCTATAGCGTTCTGGATCATGTAGCAAATCACCTTGATCATCCGTAAGCTTTAGATTTACTTCCATTGGAAAATTCGAAGGTTGAGCACCTAAGTAACCAAAATCATCTATAATCTCTAAGGTATATTTTCGTTGAGAGATTACAATGCCTTCTTTGGACCTTGAAACTTCCAAGCCAAGAAAAAAATTTAAAGAACCGAGATCTTTGATGTGAAATTGTTGATGCAAAAATTCTTTGAGATTCTGTATAGCAGTAGCATCATTGCCTGTTATCACTATGTCATCTACATAGATGAGCGCCATAGTTGTAGCTGGACCTTTAGTTTTCACAAACAAAGAATAATCTGAATGTGATTGAACAAAACCAGCATTTTGATAGCTGGTAAAGGATGCATGAGCATAATCTGTCCTCGTACAGCAGAGTATGTCTCATTGAGTCCCCTAAGAAATTGACCAAGCCGAATTCTTTCTTCTTTTTCTTTTAGAACTTTATTACCTTCACATGTGCATGTGATTGAGGGGCTACAAGTGGTTAGTTCATCCCACAACATTTTCATCGTTGTATAATAAGAAAAAATGGATTCTTGATTTTGTTTTAGTTCAACAATAGATCGTTGAGTTTGATAATGATGAGAAAAATCACCTTGAGAGAATCGTTCTTCAAGGTCTGTCCAAATCTCTGAAGGAGTTTCAGCATAGAGAACACTTGATGGACGGCCGTCCCTAAACTTTTACAAACTTTTTTATTTTATTTTAATAGGGACGGGCGTCCATATTATATGGACGGCCGTCCCTCGCATATGATGGACGGGCGTCCATGTGAGTGAACGGCCATCCAAATTTGATGGACGGCCGTTCACTAGAAAAAAATTATAAAGAAATGGGAGAACCCGTTCCACGTCGGCTGGTACAAAAATTCGGTGTAAAAATTTCGGTATCTGTACTGTTATTGTAATAATTTAATGGTTAAATTAAAGAAGAAAAGGGTTGATGTGACTCTTTATATTAAATGTCAAAATTATTATTTTTAATAATATTTTTGAAAAAATTGAGTTAGGTTATTATTATATCGCAAGATTTAAATTTAAACATGTGTTTGGTAAGATTATTTTTTAATCTCTATATTTATTAATTTAGTTAAATACCCCCTACAATAAAACTTTTGAAAATAATAAAAACACCCCATCCATCCATTAAATGCCAGCAACCGGTGGCTGGATACCGGGAATATGTGAGTAGATGGGGTGTTTTTGTTAATTTATAATTTTTTATTATTAGGGGTGTTTAGTTAAATTAACAAACCTAGAGAATTTAAAGATAGTTGAATAACATAGAATTGAATGTTTAGAATAAGGAACAAAGTATTTTGAGTAGGATAGAGATAAGATAGGGTATAAATAATGCCTCAAACACAGTCCATCCTATCTTATGAACAACTCAACAGGATAATGATTTCCAATGTGGGGTCCTTTTTTGGCAATCCCAATTCTTACTGATCTACCCAATTTTGACCCAAGTCTTAGATCATCTCCAAATGACTCTTTATATGACCCAAACTCTTTATTATAAAGAGTTTATCCATAAGAACAAGAGTCCAACATGTTCTTTATCTTTAAAATATAAATTAGAGAGTGAGTTTGACTCTCCACATTTAAAGAGTCAAATTTCACTCTCTATTCTAATTTTAATTAATAAACTATAAGTTGCTATACATTTTATTTATTAATTCTCTCTCCCATTATGTCTCTTTTTTAAAAATAAAGAGTATCTTCATTAAATTTAAAGAGTCTATTGGATTGGAATAAAAATTGTGTTATTTATATTTAAAAATCAATAAAAATACTCTTTATTTATATGAAATATGCTCTTCAAAATAAAGAGCACAATTGGAGATGTTGTTGATAGGTATCATATATGTAAAAAAATAAAATCAGTCTCCATTAATATAACAACAATATTGTATTCACAAAGCTGATATTTCAATTAATTGACACTTAATTTGATAATATCACCTTAATTATAAAATAAAAATGATAGATAAGTGCTATAAATTATCAAATTAACTATCACATTACTTGAAATATAACCTTAGAATTCAAATTGTATATGTTATTTTATAAGTACAGCGTTATTGTAAAAATAAATGTGATAATTTATAATTTTTTTTTTTTTCCCGATAGAGAAGTGGTTTGTGTCGAATATTGGACTATCCGAAAGTCTTGTCCTCCATGATAAAATTTCTCTTCAAATTGATGCCGAGAGGAATTTATTTCTTAATTATGACAGGGTTTGGACTCACCAATTGAAAACTAAATGAGGAAACAGTTCAGAATGGTTATAGAGAGTACTGAGTGGACGACATATTCCAAGTGGTTTAATAAATTTTAGATTTTCACCTTTTAAATTAATAAAAAATTATTTAAATCAGAAATGAATCTCACTCATATGTGACCCCGTCTCAGGCCAATTTGGCTTGATTATGGCGTTGTGAGGCGTTGACGCGCACTACTAGGCTTTAAGGGAAGGCGGTCTCGGGTCTTTTGTCGAATTGGGAAGTGTGTCAATTCAAGAATTATGGGCTACGTTTGTTTCAGTTTTGGAAATACTACTTTTAGTATTCCCAAAAAAGTTAAACAGTAAAATACTCAAAAACTCAGATTTTTGGGAATACTACTCCCAATATTATTTAACTTTTTTTAAACCCCTTAAATTTGATAATTTAATTAAATATCCCTAAATATTTTTTTTTAAATTACAAAAACACCCCAATAATCCACATTTACCAGATTCCGGCCACCACCACCGGAAAATGACCGGAATCTGGTAGGATGGCGCACTACCGGCTGAATCTGGCCGGTAGTGCGCCGATCTAGCCTTTTCCGGCCAGATCCACCGTGGATCTGGCCGAAAAAGGCCAGATCTAAGGCCAAAGATCTGGCCGTTGACGGCCAGATCTTTGGCCGTAACACTCGGTCACGACGGCCAACAAACGGTCGTCGTTGACCATCAACGACGACCGTTTGTTGGCCGTCATGACCGAGCAAATACGGCCAGATCTGGCCGTTGACTGCCAGATCTGACCGTAGATCTGGCCTTTTCCGGCTAGATCCACAGTGGATCTGGCCGAAAAAGGCCATAGCGACGCATGACCGGCAAGATCCAACCGGTCATGCGCCCATACGGCGACTCCGACTGGGGATGTTTGAGGGTGAGTTAGGGGTATTTTTGTTAACTTTTAATGTTTTATTATAGGGGGTATTTTGTAAAAAAACAAACATAAAGGGTATTTTATTAATTTATAAATTCTACATCGTAATACCCGCCCAATTCAATTTTTTTTTTAACTTTTTTCAAAAAACTTTTCCCAAAACTCCCAAATTTTGAACCAAACGGAGCCATGATCTTCAATGCCAGAGTCGATTCAAAAACAACACAAAACATGTCGTTAACTCTATCTTAAAAGTCAATTGTTCACACCATGCAAATATACATTCATAATGACAAATATTCAATTGAGATTCAATCTCATAATGAAAGAGTGTCCCATGCAAAGTTAATGGTTTGTTTCAAACTTTGTTTCCACCAACTCTTCTTATAAACATTTTTTTACAAGCTCAATATGATAATTCATAATTAGTTAGTTTATAATAAATTTCACTTGAGTCCTGTCTGATAAATTATGATTGACCAATTATAATTTATAAACTATTATGTCGAAATTGTGAAAAAAAAAATCGTGAAAAGAGGTTATAGATATAACATTCCTCTTTCACGCTAGCAAAAGTAAATCCTATCTCTATACATACCATGTGGGAAAATGGTTACACTGATTAACAAACAAATGGTTGAAATATTTGTTGATTTGACGATGTAATAGCTATCGCTTAGTTTTTGATTGAATCGAATTAGGAGTCAAATGACATTAATCTCCCTAAAGCAGGGGCGGATTTAATGAATGACGAGTGGGGACCACAACCCCCACTCAAATTTTTTAAAAATTTCAGATTTTCTATTTCTATTTATATTTATTTAAATTTTATCCTTATAAATCTTTGAGATTTTGAGAACGGAATAGTCGGCCCCCACGGTAAGTTTGGTTTTGTTTTTGTAAAACCCCTTTTTTAATTCTAATATATTTATTACATATTCTTTGTGATTTTTATTTTTATGCAAGGGATCTATTAGTTTTTAAAAATTATATTGGGAGTGAAAATAAAAGGAATAAGAGCTGTTGGGTTTTCACATAATGGTTTAAATCCTGAACAAAGGGGTGAAACATGTAATCTATTTAGAGGTGAAAATCAAGTCGAGCCACTCAAACTATACTTGATGTTGGCTTGAACTCGACTCCGCATTAGTTGAGTCGAGTTCGAGTAGTTAATCGAGTAAAACTCGACTCAATATATTAGCGAGTCTTTCCAAGCCCGATGGTTAAGTTGACAGTTTTTAAAGTAATAAGGGTCATATATAATTTAAAAGTTATAAAATTTGCAAATCCACCCTTGTTAGATGAGCTTGAAATCGAGTTCGAACTTGAACTTGATTAAAACTCAAATAAAACTCGAAAAAATCTCAATTATACAAATTTGAATTCGAACTCGATTTTCAATTTCAAGTTTCGAGTTCGAGTTTGAACTTGATTTCTCAGGTTCGATTAGGCTTGAACTCGAACTCGAACTCGATACTATAGAGGTCGAGTTGAGTTTGATTTACCAAATACTCGACTTGATTCGATTTCAACCCTAAATCTATTAGATGTAATCTATTCCTTTGATTTTGCATTTAGCTTGCATATGATGAAAAGTATATTGGCAATTACTAATGAGTTATCACAAGCATTGCAGAGAAAAGATCAAGACATTGTAAATGCTATGGCCTTAGTCAAAGTCTCCAAAACAACGGTTACAATTGTTGAGAGATGAAGGATGGAAATCTTTGTTGAGTGAAATTTCTTCATTTTGCCAAAAACATGATATTGTCATTTTGAATATGGATGATATGTTTGCAATTTGAAGGCGGCCATGACGAAGAGTTGAGCACATGAAAAATTTGTATCACCATCGAGTTAAATTGTTTTATACTGTGATAGATATGCAACTTCAAGAACTTAACACTCGTTTCACTAAGGTTAGTACTGAGCTGCTTCTTTGTATGACATGGTTATATCCAAGTAATTCATTCTCTGCTTTTGACAAGCATAAGTTGATCCGTTTTGCCCAGTTTTATCCAACTGATTTTTATGCACTTGAGTTGATGGTACTTGAGAACCATATTATGACTTATGTTATTGTCAGGCGTTCTTG